AAACTACGATTATACTTTCAGGGATTATTTCTTTAGTTTCTGACTTGAGGAATGTGCTTCTAAAGAGTTTGGTCTCGCTGCCCACGATGATGACGAGAGATGTTTCCTTCAGAGCAGGAAGCTGGTGAGAAGATCCAGAGGCTTCTTCACTGTTGGTGACTGTTCAGTGTTGCTGCTTGTTTCACTGAAGGAGGAAACACGATCTGAGTGGTGTTATCTAGTTGTTAAAAGGAAAAAATGCTCTCTTAGCTAAGAATGGAATACAAAAAAATGTTATTTTGGTGTACTGCTAATCTCTGATGTGATGTAGAAAATTATCTTCCTTAAAACCAATGCCTTTCACCTAAAACTTTATTCAAAATGCTGGGCAGATTTATGGTCCCTTTTTCATGCTTTTAAGAAGAATGAATAAGCCCACATTCTTCTGTTTTTCATAGTGACTTAAATTGTATTTGATTTTCAAATCAGCTCTTTTCAAAATGTGGCCTCATCAAGATGAGTTTAGTGATGAGACCCAAAACAAAAAACTGCATCAAGTCTTTAAATCTGTCGTTGAACTGCTCTGCACCTTCTTCTAGTTTGACAGCACTAGCTGGTGAAAACCCAGACTGATTAGAGGAGGTGTGTCTTTATGGTCTGGAGGAGATCACCAGGAGCAAAAATCCATGTCTGTAGATATAAGAAGCCAAAGGAGAGCTTGAACAAACTAAGACTATACTTTCAGGGATCATTTCTTTAGTTTCTGACTTGAGGAATGTGCTTCTAAAGAGTATGGTCTCGCTGCCCACCATGATGAAGAAAGATGTTTTCTTCAGAGCTGGAAGCTGGTGAGAAGATCCAGAGTTTTCTTCACTGTTGGTGACTGTTCAGTGTTGCTGCTTGTTTCACTGAAGGAGGAAACATGATCTGAGTGGTTTGATCTAACAATAATCAAAACTAAACAACGCCAACCTTACTTAACAGTGTTCAAATCAAAACTGCTTTTTTAGCTCTTGCTTGTCATTAGAAACAAGCCATCGAGCTCCCTTTGCAATCTATGGTCATCTCCCACCTTGACTGCTGCAATGCTCTCCAGATTGGTCTTCCAATGAATTAATGCAGCATCACATCTGCCTCATCAGCCCAAAGAAAATCCCACACCACCTCTCGGTTCGTTTAGTTGCACTGGCTACCCCTTGTTTCCCGCATCACATTCAAGTTACTGGTGATGGCCTAGAAAGTGCTTAAGGGTATGGCTCCCATTTTCTTGAATACTTTAGCAAAGGGTTGTAAAAACTTGGGTCACCCCTGTCGTCAAAGGGCAGTCATGTGGCAGTGCCTACAACCACGCTTAAGAAAATCTAGACTCTTTTCAGTTGCACCATGATGGTGGAATGACCTATGGAGCACAAGAAAAGTTTCCCTCTTTATCTTCAAGAAAAACTTGAAGACCCAGCTCTTCAGAGAGCATTTCCTATCCTAACACTTACCCTGTATCCCTCAACTACTTTTTTCTGTACTTCCCTCTATCCCTACACACTCACCACTGGTGCCTCTAACAGAGTCTGAGTACATTATTGATTGGTTGATGTTAACAGTAATGTTGTATTTGCATTGTAAGTCCATCCTTCTGTCCATTTTCTATATCACTTATTCCCAACAGGGCCAAGGGGCTGTGCCCTATCCCAAATCCAACAGCCTTGCATAGACTTTTTTAAAACCTGACCAGTCCCTTCCTCTGACCGCTAGGTATCAGGTGGCATAGTACGCTTTCGGGGAGGCCCATGGATGGTGTGCACTACATCCATATCTCCCACTGGACCGCCTGCAACAAATAACCCTGAGATCAGGATTATTGGGTGGTAACTTGTTTTTGGACACACATGCTACGGTATGTAAGTTACCATCTCTCCTCGGGTTAGCTCTGTAGAAAGACGGGGAGGTTCCAGTTTTGAGAAACCTCACTTCCCAGGAGGCTAGAGTACTGTAGCCCACTTTTCCAATAGGCCAAAGGCTGTGTTTTAGCTGAGGAAGACGGGCTACTTTCCAGAGGTCTAACTGAGTCGATGGTGTGACTGACTCAGTAGTTTCTTGCATCATCAATCGGGTTTGATTATTTTTATCACGGGGGACTGTTACTTTTGGTGTTTGGTCCACAAGATGGGCCCTCACCAGGTTATAATGGAAAAAATGATCCTGCAGTTCCTGCAATCTCAACTGCAGATATATAGTTACCCTGCACACAACTCTGGGAATGAGTCGTGTCTGGACCCTTTGTCCGTCAATTAGGGTTGGAAAATTTACGCCATGAAAAAGGAAAAGAAAAAAAAGAGCTTTGTGCAGCTTAGTCGGGTTCCTATCGAATTATCAGTGGTCTTACTGCCACTCAGCTGTTTTAGATGAGGAGCTTTGAGGAGTTCAAAATTTCCACCACTACCAAGACTCCGATAAACTTAACAGAATGAATCAGTAACCAAAACCCACCTCTGACCAGGAGTATTACTCACATCCTCACATTGACATACACAGTCAGCTGATGTCGGAATACAGGACAGAAAACTAAGGCACTCACAGTCATGTGTTTTAACAGGATTAGTACAACCCATTTAGCAATTCAATCCACGGTTGTGTTTTTTACTAAACTTTTATATTAATTTCTTCCGGTTTCTTGTCATATTAGTGGATTTGTAGAAGCAAAATACAACTATATTTTCCAACCTGAGTAGATTGCTTACTTAAACAAGCAAACTACAATGGCCTTTGATATTTTTATGACACAACAGAAAGCTCAGTGTGATATTCAACACTATCCGTAAAGGTTTGCTGAGACAAACTTCCTTCCTGGGATGAAAAATGAGCACTCCAAATGAAATGCACCGTAATGATTTCCCAGCACACCGGATATCTCCGATCAAAGAGGGAAGTGGGGAACCTCAAGGAGCCAAGTGATCGTGAAGTAGGTCAGGTTGGTTACATAACGCAGAACATGATGAGTGGATGTTTGGGCCCATCTCTGGAGAGGAGCTTCAACAGAAAAGATAGCATCCGGGGGTTTATAGGACTGTCTGCAGTTGCTCTCTTTACTCAGGATTTTTGCATATCTGTACAGCCAAAGCTGGTTAGCTTCATGTCTGACATGCAAATACAGATAAAATGTAAGTAATTTACATAATTTCATTGCTTTCCAGAACCGTTGAAGATACTTCAAAATGTGAGTTCCTGTTTAATTAAATTTGAACCTAGTTGTGACGAAGTTGCCTTCTGAAATAACTGAGACCAGGTCAAGATTCTACTCGTGTGGAAATGTACAGCGTAGAAGACATGCGGCTCCATTATCTTGGTGTTAAAAGTACAAAATTCCACCTTCTTAAAGCTGCCCCTTTACTATCTGCTTGATCAAGGTCAGTTCTAGTACCTCGTTTTTTTGTTCCCTCTTTTACAATCTGTTCAGTGATATGGGATTAGACAATATTAACGTGCAAACCTTCCAGAAATAATATTTACATCTGCCACAGAGGCGGAAAAGACGCAATATTTATGATAGTTTTATCTGGAAAATTTAAAAAGACGAAGACGCCATTTTAACCATTAAATTGACTATTTCCAAAACTTTTATTCACAGCCTTGTAGAGGACACTGTTGTGTAAATTTGAATGTAGTTCTCATTTTCATTCAAAGATTACAAATAAATGGAGCTGGTGATTTTAATGTAGTCTAACTAGGGTTTCCAAGGTTAATGAACTTTTAGGGGACGAAAGGCTTCACCCACTTCAGAACAAATTAAAACAGATGGTTGCTCTCGAGAAAAACAAATAAATCCTTGGTGTCTAAAAAGAGATGATGAATTGATTAAACAAGGATATATTCAGGTCAATAAATGAACAGCAGAACAGCAAATCCTTTTCTTATTTATTAGAAACGCTCAAACAGAAAAATGCAAAAAAAAATAAAAAAAATAAAAGCAGTTCTTAAAACATATTCTATTAAAAGGTTATACACATATAGAATAGATCCCAGGGTTATAAATCCTTTTCTTCACAAATGAAAAAAAAAGCCGGATTTTACCTCCTGCTTGATTCAAGCAACAAACTGATGCCAAAAAGAAAAGAAAAAAACTAAAATTATGTAATATAAAGTGTAAATCCTCTTGATGCTGCCGTGCGCACTGGGAGCTGGAGGAGCCTGGCACTCCTGCCGGATTATTAGTTTCACAAATGAGAAAAGGGGATTATAAACTGGGCTGTAACTGCAATTCGGGGAAAAAACCAAAAACCAAAAAAAAAGCTTTCTCCTGAGTTTTAACATCTCGGTTTGGTGGCAAAAGTGAGGAACCCGGTGTGGCCGGGGATTTCTCTGTGTGGAATGGTGGTCCTCAGGGTCTCGGAGGGGTGGTTGGGAGCGCCGGGAGCGGGCGGTTTCTCCGTGCCGTCCAGCTCGGTCCGAGCGGACGAATCCGGCCCAAATTCGGGCAGCGGCAGGGAGACGGTGCGGACGTCCAGAAGCCTCACCAGGACCTCCAGGGTGCTGATCTCCTCGAAGCCGTGGCTGGCCAGCGCCTCGCAGGTCCTCTGGACCTGCTCGATGCACGGAGAGAAGGAGCACACCCGGCCTCCTGCGGGAGAAACGCAGCTGTGAACACAACCCTCCCCCGAGATGAAGGAAGATCGGAGGGGACACGCTCTTTAAAAGGGATGCTTGTTTGTTTTCTAATTACCTAGCTCTGACCATCCGCAGAACTTCATCAACTTCAGAGAAGCTCCCCACGTCACCCTTTTAACTAATGTCTCTAGGATGTTGCAACCGTTAAATGACTTGTCCAGTCGAGTTGGACAATAACTGTTGCAAAGAGCAGTTCCAAACAGAATGTCTGAGGATAACGATAAAAGCTCAGATTATCGTCACAAAACTACCAATATTAAAAGGAATTTTTATTTCGGAGATCTCTGCATTCTTTCAGCGATCTCTCTTAAAAACAAAACAAAAAACCCCATCTCTGATCAAATATAAACAGTCTAGATTCCTGAAGTCAATAATAAGAGACGCTTCAGCTCTATTAATAAAGCACTTTCTTAGAAATATATCAAAGCATATTTCTTGCCAAAGAAAAGCCCTCGTGTGGCCCGCTGCGCTCTGGGCTGCAGTTGGTGGATCATCAGGGGATGAGCGGGTGATCTGATAAACGGAGATCACCTACGGGAAAGCGGCCTCTCGTCTTTTAATGAAACCCCACGGTGAGCGCGGCGGGAGGCCGCAGTTGCTGAGCCGAGAAAAAAACCTTAGCTGGCTGACCTGAGGAGCAAAGAATGCGACTCTGAGCTGCAGCTGCAGGGAACTGAGGCCTATGTCTCCAACTCGATTCGTAGTTTTTAGCTTTTTTGCTTGCTAAAAGGTCAGATAATAAGGGTGGGGATACTTTAAGAAGATAATACTATAGCTCAATTAAACCCCGTCCCATATATTGAAGGAAATGAGTTTTATTTTTTCTTCTTTCTTCCTCTTCAGGCAGATTAACAGGCATTAACAACGCCTTTAATCAGATTAATTTACCTGACTCCAGGTTCCAACATTTGCTCCTTTCCTATTCGCTTTCATCGTGGCAATAAACATTAACTAGCAAACTCCCCGCTGTGTGCTTTAGTCGTCCTCTGACTGCGTTTGCCACTGGGTTCAGAGGCCAGACGTCCACTACGAGAGTGGACGTTGGAGCGAGGTGGCTGTGTGGCCAGTTGATAAGCGATTGTTCTGGGACGTGAAAGCGCTCACCAAACGTCCGGATCTCAAACGTGGGGATATCTTGAATACGAACAAGCAGTGTGGCCCCCCCTCACCTGAAATGTTAGCCGTCTGACCCTCCCCGTATGCTACGTAAGCGCCTTGGGGCCAGACACTGAATTCCCCTGTTGTGTGACGATCAGAGATCCTTTCTGGGACGAACAGTCGGACTGCAGAGGGCAGCCTTGTGTCTGGAGTCGTTACTTAGGTCTGGCAAACATTACATCGAACCGCAGCGTGTTTCGGATTACTGTCGCTCCTTTGGTAAACAGGACCACCGCTCCCTCCGAACGGCCTCGAACCCGGCCGTCTCCTGGCAACCGGGGACGAGCGTTGCCGAGGGAGAGGTCGGGTTGATCATTACAAAAGGGCGTCGCCGGCGGCGGTCAGCGGCATCGGAAACCAACTCAGCTCTGTGAAAGCGTCCCGACTATGATTCTTTGTCCCGAGGTGGCCGGCTCTGTGTCTGCTTTGTGCTTACGTAATAACGGCCATAAGTCTGAGCGAAGCCAGGAGGGGAAGGGGGTGGGGGGGTGGGGGTGGCGATGGGTTCAGGGTCCCTCTCAGAGAGAGCCAGGACGCAAGCCAAGACACTGGGAAAATTACAACTTCCACGGAAGAGGAAAAAAAAAAAAAAGAGGGAGAGAGAGAGAGAGACATTAAAATGTTTCTCTCCCTCTGGTCTTACTCTGAATGAGCCAGCATGCAGGATATTTTTCTCTGGCCTCAGAGCAGATTCAAACCACAGACATGCCATGTAAAAAAAAAAAAAAAAGGAAAAAAAAGTCTTGTGTAAGAAACGTGAAGCAACCGTAAAAAGCCGAACCCTTTCCTTGCTAACATCTTTGGCCCACTGGGACCTAAGAGTGCTTGAATCAGCGGTTAATGTCTCTCTGGGGGTTCCCCGAGTCCTCCAGGGAGTCCCGAATCCTCGAGTCCCCGCATCAGTTTCTGAAAACAGTAACTGTTTCACCTATTCTGAGCCAACCGACCACCAAAAAACATAAAACATAGCTTTTTTTGGTCTTTTTTTTTTTTGGCCAAACTGAGACATTTCAGGCTCTACAAAACAATCGGGCCACAAAGTGCCGGACTCTTCCTCTGTCCTTCTACCTGTTTTGTTTTTTCCCCTTCTTTCTATGGCAGCCTCTGCATGCGGAGCCCGCTGCTTGCGGCAATACCCAGTATGGTCATGGGACCGCTGCTACAATGGGGGACCAGCAGCACTCTATTTATCAGGACCAGTGTGTGTGTGCGGCGGCCGGCTTCTCCTAAAAGGAATACGAAGCACTGGCACCATAAAAGGAGTCAGAAAAAGAGGTGGGAGAGTTTCAGGAGCGCCATCCTCGCTCCTCCTTGAATTCCTCTTCATGTCGGGATGTATTTATATAAACAATGCTGCATTTAACTCGTTGGGACTCAGATAAACAAAAGATTCTGAACCATTTAAATGCTCCGAGGGCTACGTTTCCCTTAAACCGAACGCTAAACAGCATCTTTCATTTGAGGCGTTAATAATCGCGGACCGCCAAGGCTGGCCTTGTTGATGGATTAGATAGGAAATGCGATTTGAAAGCTACACCGAGTAAATTGATCGCTGGCGTTGGGCCGACGCTGTCGGGGGGGTTCGGTTTCCATGCGCCAGCATAAAGAATGGTTACGATGGAGCTAGTCAGAAAACACTGGACAGTTGAGGTTAAAAACAATCCCAACCGGGGGCTAAAAGCTATGGAGACACCCTCCGCTGACCCCGACGGCCTGCCTGGGCTTGCGGCAGGTATCCCGGTTGCCGCGGAGACGCCGCCCCGGCCGTTTGTGTTGTGCCTCGGTATCCCCGGGCAGCGAGGATCCATGGGTACAGTGAGGTCCTGTTCACGGTCACAGTGGTGCTCGTGGCCCAGGACAAGTCACAGGAAACTCATCATCAGGTGGTGAGGAAGAAGAGGGTTAGCCTAACCCTTTTAATTCCCCCACATGAGTCAGTTTACAATGCTTGAGGGGAAGTATTACCGTGACGAATAAAGTTCAAGATATTTGTACTGTACAATTCCAACGCAGGCCTTTTCCTTAGGCCTGTTAGTGCTCGTGTGAAAGGGCGGACATCAAAATCCCGAATCCCGAAAGTGGTGAGAGTGGAGCAGTTGATCTGGTTTAAGTACTTTAATCCAGAGTAAATACTTTAGCTGGGAGTTAATGTGCATTAAGATACAGCTGGTTTCCGTGCTATTCCATAGAAAGCAGCAGCTGTGCTGCTGAGCTGAGCACCTCGGAGCAGCTCTTTTAACACCCCTTTTAACTAGCGATGAGTGGGGGGGGGACACATTTAGCTGGTTTATCTGAGCGGATAACAAAGCACTACCGTATGTGAACGCACCTCCTTTCCTTAAAGAGCCACAAAAAAAGGCTAACGGGAAGTGTTTTGTAATTAAAAGTAACTTGGCTTCTGTATGGCTCAAAGTGGATCGCAAATAAAAGGCTGGACCGGTGTCTGAATGCAGAATACCTGCAGCGGTTGGTGGAAACAAACACTCAAATCACAACAGCTGCAAATATACAGAGAAAAAACCCCCAGCTTGACTCATCTGCCACAGAACCAATGAAAAGTTGGAGGTTCCCTAGGGACGTGCACTTCAATTCAAACCTGCGCGTCTCTCACCGTGCTTCTTCATGGCGGACTTGGCGTGCCCCACGGCCTCCCAGGGGCTAGGGATGTCCAGGAAGACGGCGTCGGCCACGCCCGCCACGCCGAAGCCCTCCTTGCACACGTCCTGGTTCCGGACGGTGACCAGGTGGGCCACGCGGTGCTCGGCGAACTCTTCGGCCGCCTTCTCCGCCCGCTGCTGGTGGAACTCCACCGTGTGCAGGTGGCCCGTGGGGGCGATGGTGCGGAGGATGGCGTGGGAGAGGGAGCCGCTACCCGTACCTGAACACAACACGGGAGTTCATCAGAATAAATACACTTCAAACAAACAGACAAAACATAAGAAACTGTGTCTCTGGCTGTGTTTCTGACTGGGTGAAGAGCTATTAGACTCAATCTTTATGTGCTTATGAGCATGTACACGCCTTGTGGTCCATTTCACTCAGGGACATGTCATTTAGATTCAACTATAACGTCTTCCCTCCAGATTCAAACTGATGTGCTACCTTTGGAGGCTTTCCTCTGCCCTAAATGAGTCCAAATCCCTCACAGCTGTTTTTCCGTCCCGCTCCGACATTCTCACACGGCTTCGCTCTCCACTCTGGCCCTGTAAGTGGACGCTACAATTTCCAAGAGGACATTCTTTCAGCCTGTAAGCAGTCCAGTTGGTGCCTAAAACAATGGCTGCTAATGTGCGCCTTGTGAGTGAGAGAGAGAGAGAGAGATGCGAGAGGGAAGAAGAGCAACGTTGGTCACGTGACACTGTAGTCAAGGAGGGGTAATGGAGTGTTAAAAAAAAAAAAAAAGCAAAAAACACACAACAAAAAGCCAGCGGATCCCATCCTCCACCCGCTCTCCTCCTGACATTATGTCAGCGCTGCCTTTGTTACCGTGGCGACAAAGGGGGCAGTGTTTGGCCCGACTCTGACTTGCTAAAGACCTCACACTGTTGGACCGGATGGCGAGAGACTGCTGACAAACCAGACTCAATGGGTACTGAGCAGGTTTGAGGATAAACGGGAGACAAGAAACACATAAAAAGTCGTATAAAAAAATTCAGAAAGAATCGAATCGCCCAATTTTTTTCTGACAACATTTTTCTGACTTCTTTTTTTTTTAAAGAACTTACTGTTCTGGCTGCCCGCCACTCATCTGTGTGTGACTGCATTGTGGTTTAATATATCTTAAAAATAGAAACCGTGTCTGATGCGTGCGCATGTTCCTAGGGTCCTAAATCCCCCAGTAACTGGAACACTTCCATAACCCAGACCCCATTACTCAGACTTCATACCATATCATTTTCACCCACAATTCCGTGCCACATATTCTAACAAATTAACCCTAATCTTACACAAACCCACTTGTTTTTGTCTGAACACAGAGCTTTGGATGAGGCATTTTATCATCCCATTCTTAGTTTTATAAATCTGGATAACATAGGACCCCGGGAACATTAGAACGACAACAGAAGAACATTCCCAAGGAAAAATTTAATCTTTTCTTTATGTCGCTGTATGAAATGGAGATGTTTTATGTCCACAAAGGAAGTTTTTGATATCCGTCCCGTCTGTTTGTCCTTTAATCTGCACCATTATTTACAAGCTGCTTGGCAACTGTCTGTGTAACTCGGTGGAAGGTGAGACCTTGGATAAGAGTAAGAATAAGAGATAGGGAAGTCACACTCAACATAAGTCACATTATGAATATGCCAACTTTACGCTTTCTGATATCATATCTGACTCATTTCTAAGTCCAGCTGGTTGCCAACACATAATGAATGACATTTGAAGGGTTTAAGACACACACGCAAAACAGTTGTGGGCTGAGGCCTGTTGTTTTTAAGGCAAGTCTCATTTGATTAGTCCAAAACAAATATAACCCTAAAACCTCAGCATATGACTGACTTTGGAAAATGGCTGCTGATCATGTAAATGACCAATACGGTATTTTCATCTGAGTAAATTAATGTTCTGATGCATTTCGGCTACAAATTGTGTGACAGAATCACAGTAAATTCTACACTGAACTGTGAAGCTGAATCAATTTAGCTCTGGTGCTCGTTTAAAGTTAAGTGGGTGTTAAAGTTGGTGAGAAATGGCTGCTTGACTGCAGCGATATCTTGTTGAAGTGATAGTAGCATCCTGAGCCCAACATCTGGATTCAATCTGCGTACGCGGACAATCCCATGGCCAAGAACAAAATCTGGATGTCAGACTTCAGGCCAGGAGGTTTGGGCTTTATCCAATTTAAGATTGGACAAATCTCCCGAAGAGACCCTCAACATCAGCAGCTTTGTATCAGACCGACCTCTCTTCCATTTAAATGTAAAGCAGCCTGTCTGTCAGTGATGGGAATTTCGTCAAAGAAAATTGTAGCTCCAGAACAGCAGTCTCAGACTCCAGTCCTTGACGGCTGCCGTCCTCTTCGTTTATGATGTTCACTGCTTCCATTCACATCATTGCACCATTGGAAGACTTGCGAAGAACTTGACTAGGTGAGGAGATCTATTCAATCTGTATACAACCATGGTTCTTGAGGACCACTGTCCCGTATGTTTTCCAAGTTTCTCCACTCCAGCAAACTTGATTCAAGGAAGCGGGACAGCTCTTAAACTCTGCAGTAGGTTGATGAAGACCAATTTGTTTAAATAAGGTTAGGGTCGGGGTTAGCTGAGAAAGTTAGGGTTAGCAGAGAAGGTTAGGGTTAGAGTAGAGACAGTTAGGTTTAGCAGAAAATGTTAGGGTTAGGACAGAGAAGGTTAGGGTTACAGTGGAGAAGGTTAGGGTTATCAGAAAAGGTAAGGGGTTACAGGAGAGAAGGTTAGGGTTAGGGTTAGGGTTAGCAGAGAAGGTTAGGGTTAGGGCAGAGAAGGTTAGGGTTAGAGTAGAGAAGGTTAGGGTTAGCAATAAA